GCAAATGGTCAGCGGCGCTCTCGGCAATTTAGGGTTTAGCGTTTAGAGGACGTAAAAGGTTCACAGGGCTCATAGGGCCTTTAGGGTTTATAGGGCGTGTAGTAGGGCTTACAGGGCTTAAAGGGCTTACAATTTATATTTCATAGGGTTGAGTTTAGAGGGTTTAGAACCCCTAAAACCCGCAAACCCTGAAACCCTTATGTACGGGCCTTAATAATTAGAACAGGGTTTTGGAGCCCAATATACTATAATGAGGAACCCCCCAAAATAGTATGGTAATTATTTAGGGCCCTTCAACTAAACCCTATAAACCCTAAACCCTAAACCCAAATCCTAAACCCTATTCATATTATTGAGGCCCCTATATTAAGAAGTTCAGGTACTTCGCCTTTCAGTTGCTCATCTGACTGGGAGATACAAATCCTGTCGACGAAAACGAGGTGTCGTCGGTGCCAAAAGGCCAAGACCAAGTAGTAGACGAAGGCCCCAACCTGGGTTTAGGGTTTAGGGCATGGTTGGGATGGTGTTTGAAACTTAAACTTCTACTCCTTCTTGGATTTAGGTACCCCAAAAAAATGGAAAATGGCACCCAACTATGACAAAGCAACGACGCAACCCCAGCCGAGCGAAAATGGGGGCAGGGCTCCAAGGCCGTAGAGTAAACCTACTAACAGAACAGATGCCGAGCTCAGCAGCACCGCGGCGCTACCATTGTTCAACAGCATGAGTGTCAGAATCTTTGCCCACGCCGGCCCATGCCAACTGTGCGAATAAAAGGATGAAATTCGGGTGCTCGGGCGACTTTTGTGGTAGTACTCCCCTTCGTCTTGGCGAAGAGGCCTTCCCAAACACTTCAGCACCTCACCAGCTGGCGTCGCTCGCAAAATCTCGTCGCGGGTGGGGAGCATTTCAGAGATTAAGCTGCTGTAAATCTCCTCCCAGTCCTTAATTGTCTCTTCTGGGGTGCCACTCAGAAACACATTGATTTCGTGGCCTCAATAGTTTGAACAGGGCATGCAGCCATATCTTACCTAAAGTTACTATGATAAGTATCCTTCAAGAAAGACGTCCATTAGGAATATTAGTAATGATTCCAGCTCCTATATTTCGCTCCCCAGCAACCCCATAAAAATAAGAGCAGCCTTCGGCCAATATCCAGCTAATGCAAGAAAGAAGTACTGCTGGGGCAGCTAGCATGTTATCCCCAACCCCACCTCCAAACCCTAAGCCCTGAAAACCCTGAAAACCCTGAACCCTACACCCTGAAAGCCCTGAGCCCGAAGCCCTGGAGCGGTAAACCCCAAATCCCACAGGGATTTGCGGCATAGGGCTGGAAAGCTGCTACAATTCTGCCAAAGATCTTGGTCGTACTCGCCAGGGGAGTCGCTCCTCAGGCAATTCTTGCTCTATCTACTCTTATTTTTACTAGGGTTTAGGGTTAGGCGTTTGGGATTTAGGGTTGAGGATCGTATACGTCTACTACTACTACTACTACTACTACTACTACTACTGCTGCTACTGCTACGACTACTCCTACTACTCCTACTACTCCTGCTAGTACTACGACTACAACGACTACGACGACGACGACGACGACTACTACTACTACGACTACGACGACGACGACGACGACTACTACTACTGTTACTACTACTAGGACATACATCAGATTGTCACGCTCCTGCGTTTTTTGGTAACCCTAACCCTATTCCCAGACCATAATACCGCCCGAAGCCTTGGAAGGATCATGGGGCTAAGCTGGTCAGTATCGGGTTTAGGGGTTTAGGGTTTAGGATTTGGGGTTTAGGGAGAAGAGCTACAAGTACAGTATTCAGTATTCCCAATTTGCAACCCTACTTAGCACCTGCTTGCTATCAGTCTAAATTCTGAAAAGAACTACATACAGAATTCCTGTAAAACCCTCTGCAAACCCTGCAAGCTCCCAACAAACCTACTAGGTCCCATGATGCCTCTTCTGCCCTTTCCCCGAACTTCCTGCCTGGGGCTCGGGGGGTGCCCGACAATCTGTGCCGGAGCGTCCGGCATGGCGCCCGATTCGAGCTGGTTCTGGGCTTCAGCCTAAACCTCGGTAGACTTTAAACCCTAAACCCCTAAAGGCCCAAACCCTAAACCCTAAAAACCTAAAACCTAAACCCTTAACCCCTAAACCCTTGAAGTCCCAAACCCGAAAACCCATAACCCCCCCAAAGACTCGGGCCCTGAGACAGCGGCATGCTTGGGCATAGGAGTTTAAAGTTTAGGGGTTTGGGGCTCAGAGCTCTAGGGCTTAGGGCTTCTGTTTTGGGGTGTAGGGGTTCGGGGTTTAGGGCTTTCGGGTTTGGGGCTTAGAGCTTTAGCGCTTAAGGTGTAGGGCCTCTGGGCTTTAGGGCTTTGGGCTTCGGGTTTCAGAAACCGGCAGATATACCCGACACACCACAAGCCCCATTAGCCCAAAGCCCTAGGATTGCCTCCTCCAGCTTTCTACAAACTAGCCTGAGATGGGAATCTGCAACCCTAAACCCTAAACCCTAGACCCTAAACTAACGAACCCTGGGACTTCATTGGGGCTCTCTATATGTACCCCAACATGTTAAGGGTTTAGGGTTTAGGGTTTCTGAATCAGGTTCCTACATTACCACCTGGTTTGTGGATTTAGAGACAGCTCAAGGCTTCGGGTCTTGGGTTTAGGGTTTAGGGTTTAGGAGTTAGCGCTTGGAGCTTCCTTCAGTAGAAGCCCAAACCGTTGGGAACCCAACACCCAATGGCCTCAATCCTTCAGTTGGCCTTAGTCCGGTTTCCTACTTTTTGGGGTTTGTTATAAACCCAAAACCCCAGACCCTAAACCCAAAACCCTACGTCCCGAAACCTTAGCCGCTAGGCCCTGTAGAGTTACAAACCCCTGTTTTAGAGCCCACTGCCTAATGCAGGAACCTGATTAAGAAACACTGGGTTCTTATTTGGGTTCTTAATATGATCCCGAATATATTTGGGGTTATGGGGCCAGGGTTTCTTAATCAGGTTCCTACTGCAAACGCTTGGTCTGCACTTGTGAGAACAGTGTGCTTGCCCTGTTTGGGATGAAGCCGAGTGAGGCTATGTACAAAGTCCTCTAGATGCTACAAGTTGGGCTTAGCGGCTTAGCGTTTACGGTTGCGCAATTTGTGGTGCTTCTTGCGAAAAGGGGCTCAAATAATGGTGAAGAGGTAGACCTACACCATAAACCCTGAAGCCAAACCTCTAAACCCTAAACCCTA